CAGTGTTCAACACACGGCCGTGGCTGCCTGAACCATCATCATGGTCAGACACTTTCCCGCGGATTTGCATGGCGTGAAAAACGGTGGCACGCTGCACGATAGCATCGAATCCGAGACCCTCGCTATTGTTCCACCGAGATTTGGCTTCTCGCATAGCAGCGCAGTCTTGAGTGAACCGTACTGCTTGTCAGGGAGGGCTTGTAGAAGAGCATTTGCCTGTCTTGCCTCCACAACGTTATCGCCTAGCTTACCGAGCTCGTGACAGATGCGGCGCAACTGTTGGACCGCACGTGCCGGATCGTCTCTTCATCTACGACCCGCGGGCACTGCAGTTGCCTGCTGCGACGCTGCCGGAGGATCGCGCCGCTGGAGTCGAGCAGGTGCACAATGCGCCTGTGACGGCGCTGCCGGATGGCCTCGTCGTCTGCGACCCGCAGGCACCGCAGGTGCCTGCTGCGGCGCTGCCCGAGGAGCGCGCTGCTGATGAGGTCCCGGTTCAGGATACGCCCGTGGCACTGCCGGATGGTTCCTTCATTTTTGACCCGCAGACACTGCAGGTGCCTACTGCGGTACCACCAGCGGAGGGTGTGGCTGGAGATGGACCCGCGGAACGCCCGGCTGGATCTGCGGAGCTGCCAGCGGAGGGTGCGGCTGGAGATGGACCAGCGGAGCGCCCGGCTGGAGATCAGCAGGCCGAGGATGCGATTGGTGATACGACACTCTACATAGATTCAGGGGCGTCGAGCCACATGGTGGACACACAATCTCGCGTGTCCAAACACGTTCTGAATCCAGTGGACTGCGCCGTTCGTATCATCGGGTCGTGTGGCACGTCTAGCGCTACCAAGAAAGGTACCCTGAAGTTCGGGATTCGCAATGCTCACGACGAAGTGGTAAAAATGGCGTTGGACGTTCTGCTGGTTCGAGACCTAGGAGCGAACATCTTGTCGGTTGGAGCGTAGGCTTAAAAGGGAGTGAAGTATGATCTCATGTCTACCCCTCCGGCGCTCCGCCGCGGCGACCAGACTTTTCCCATTTCAACCGCTGTGCCTCGAATGTAAGTGATGAACGTCATCGTCGACGACCTCAACCTGGACGATGTAGACGTGTATCACACCAAGGTTGACGCTCACCTGTGGCATCGGAGGATGGGCCACTGCAATCCTCGTGCGCTGCAGCAGCTGGCTGACAAGGGTTCCACCGGTATCAGCTTCCATCGTAACATCGAATCAGGTGACTGCAGTGAATGTGCAGTTGGGGACAGCAAAAAAAGCAGCCACCCGCTGTCCGATCGCCCCCGCTCTGAGACACGGCTTGAGATTGTAAGCGCCGATGTGTGGGGGAAGCACTCTGTTAACTCGTACGGGGGTCGCCAGAGCGCCGTGATGTTTACTGACGACGCTTCGCGCATGAGGTTCGGCTTCCCCATCAAGACGAAAGCCGAAACGGCGGAGGCCCTCCAATCGCTTATCCGGGACGTTGCCGATCCGCTTGGGCAAAGCATCGGTACGGTGCACTGCGATGACGGAGCAGAGTTCAAGGGCAGGTTCTTGGAGCTTTGCAAGTCGGTTGGAATTACGGTCAACAACAGCCCCCCCTACGATCCGCAAGGGAACGCCATCGCGGAGCGTGGGTTTGGTACAATCATCGGCACTACGCGCAAGATGCTCCTGGGGGCGCCGCACCTTCCCGGCGAGCTGTGGGCTGAGGCTTTTCGGACCGCCATTTATCTCAAGAATCGCACACCGACTGACGTCCTGGGTGATCAGGCCCCACTCGAGGTATGGAAGAGTAAGCCGCTCGGGAAAGTGTTGCACATCCACGAATGGGGTTCGTTGGCGTTTAAGCACGAGGAGACGCGCTTCCGGTCGAGCAAGCTGGCGGCCAGGGCCAAGAAAATGTACCTGGTCGGCCAAAATCCGGAGAGTAGGTCGAACAGACTGTGGAGCCTTTCAAAATCACCAACTCTGCCGAGGTATCATTCCGTGAGAAAGAAATGCGTGACGTGGTCAAACCCAAGGTAGGGCACGACCCGTTTCCTGCGCCCAATGTGTCTGTTCATCAGCCTGGCGCGGTAGAATCTAGCGAAAGCGGCGATGAAGACACAACCCCCACAGGGCTGCCGCCGGTGGCTCCGGGACCTCGTCGAAGCGACAGGACCTCCGTGGCGCCGCAGCGGCTGAACCTGTTTACGACGGAGGAGGATGCGTACGAGAGAATCGAGCATGCCCTGGTGACGGGTAGCGACGTCGGCAACATCGGGAGTGGACGTCCCGGTGAAGTGGGTTATATGCCTGCCGACCCCGCCAACTACGATGAAGCGGTGAGTGGACCGGACGCCGAACGCTGGATGGCAAGCATGGGCGATGAAGAACAATCGCTCTACGACCATGACGTTTTCGACTGGGTTGGCGTGCCCGAGGGAGAACAACTGATTGCGTCCAAGTTGCTATTCAGGTGGAAGTACAATCAAGACAACATTCCGGTCCGCCCGAAGACTCGTGTCGTGGTGCAAGGGTTTCACGAGGCTGATACGGGGGTGGACAAGGCCGCACCTGTGGCAAGCATGGAATCTGTGCACCTGGTAGTGCCTCACGCCGCGTACTACGGTCTAGTTCTCAAGCAAGCTGATATCGAGACTGCGTTCCTTAACTCCAGAACGCCCGAGGGTGCGAAGTCCGTCTACGTGATTCCTCCGAAGGGTTTCAGGTGCACGCCGGAGCAAGCCAAACAAGTCTGGCGTCTCAAGGCGTGGCTGTACGGCCTGCGTCTCTCCCCGAAGGGATGGAATGGAACCTTTCACCAGTTCCTGCTGGAGCTAGGCTTCGTACCGAGCACTGGCGACCCGTGCCTGGACATACTGCACGCGGGGGAAGTAGACTAATCCTACTGGTGTATGTGGACGACATTCTGCTCTCTGGGACAACGAGGAACTAGTGTCGACCATTATCGAACAGATGAAGGAACGGTTTGAAACGGTGGACTTAGGAGATGCGAAGTTCATCCTGGGAATGGCCATCCACCGCAACCGCGACGCGGGCACTATTCTCTTGACGCAGGAGGCATACACCAAGGTCGTACTTGCCAAGTTCGGCATGGCCGACTTGCACCAGACGAAGATGCCGGCGGAGGTTGGACCGATGAGCACAGTGGAGGAAGAGACTGACGCCGGATGAAACTACAATGTTCCTGTCTGCCACGGGTTTGGCTCTATACATATGTAGGAGATCGAGGCCGGACGTTTCCCACGCGATACTGGTGCTTACCAAGAGCATGGCTAAGCTCGGGCCTAAGGCGTGGGCTTGGTTGAAGCGACTGATGTGGTACCTGAAGGGAACCGCATCGCTGGGGAAAACATACAGCGAGGACGCATCGAACGGAGACAAACTAACCGCTTACGTTGATTCCGACTTTGCAGGCGACATAGACGACAGGAAATCAACTCGCAGGTGGTGTGGTAGACTCGACGGCTACGAAGCAAACGGTGACGGCTGTCTCGTCGGCTGAGGCGGAGTATGTTGCAATGTCCAAGGCCTGCAAGATGATCCCCTACTGGAGCCACCTACTCAAGACTATCAACCGGGAGCAGAAGGAAGCAACGATACATGGGTCCCACGTGTGTCAGGAATTTTGACACGAGCACGAAATATTGACACGAGACCAGAATTTTGACACGAGACGTCAGAATTTTGACACGAGAGGTTACGCCGCACTTTTTCATGTCAGAATCACAGGTCAGAATTTTTCGAAACAACGGTCAAAATTTTCACCTGAGGTATTTTGACACGAGATAACGACAAATTGGCACGAGCGCCATCGCACACACATGGGCAAGCAGTAGAACCTGCATGCACTCATCATACCACTCGTAGCGGATTCTACCTCGCGCAAGGCGCGCCATCCCCTCGCTCCGTGTCGGGTGCGCTGATGAGGGAGCGCGACCGTTGGGTTTCCCGGCGGTGCAGCGGTGCAGCTGGGGTTGATTTTTTTTTTACTTGAGGCTGCGCCGCTGCTGGCCTTCGCCAGGCAACGTGCGGCGGAATATTTTTTCGTGTCAAGTTACCAACCGTTACCTTTTTTGAGTAGCTTGGTGCACCCGGCGCAGTTGTAGACGGCAAAAAAGTCATATTAAGAAAAAAAAAAAAAAATAATAGAACCGCGCGGCGAGTTTGCCGGCAACGATAAAATACAGTAAACTGCCCGCGGATGTGGTAACCCGCCGCATCTGTGATGTTCCGGAGCGTGATGGCTCTGATGTGTTGAAGCTGGTGCTGTGATAGCTGTTGTGATGGCATGATAGCCTAGAGGCGTGACAGCCTGGCAGCGTGATAGCCGGTGGATATGTGTGGACACGGGCGTGATAGCCCAGAGCGTGATAGCCGGGAAAAGGAAGATGAAATTATCCTAGGGCACGTAGTCAACACCGTTGCAGACACGTATACCCAGGAAACAACAATATGTGGCAAAGATGGTACCACCATTCCCTCAATATACCACAACTGCGGAACCCCAAAAATTCCCCGCTCCATCTTCTCGGAACGTTCCTCGGTTGCAATAATCTGTCAATGCTGTGAGTACATCCAACAGCCCCCCTGCTCGCTGCATTGTCAAGATTATTCCCGGACTTATGTATCACACAAAACCCATCCCAAAAGCTCCAGAAATCAATGTCAATGTCCAACAGTAGTCGGATCTCCTCCTATTCTCTTGCAACAAAAATAAACCATTAAACCAGAAACTAGTAGTTCCTACCAGAATTTCCATCGGTCTCCATTGTGTCCAGAATCTCCAAGGATCAAAACATTCACTACTACATCCATCCATTAAATAAATCAGAAACACTGATGATTGGCATTCCATCGGTTGAATACCATTAAACCAGGAACACCACCAAGAATTTCCATTGGTCGCTGGTGAATTTTCCAATTTCCCAATATCAAATCCAAAACTCAAATAATCGAAACAACCGCAATGGGTCGTATCAGAAACAAATGAAAACAAACACATACGCATACACATAAAACACCGTCCGGGACAAATCACTTTCCGAGGATACCTCACATCCACAAGTAGCTGAAAACAAGAATCAATCATGAATGCACAAAAATGCTCGAACAACGTAGACAGAGCCTTCTACCAAGAAAAATGCCACACGAAAAAAGAAAAAAAGCAAAAACATGTAGCACAACCGTAGCGACCTGCACACCATGGCCGCAAGGACTCAAACCAATAACCCTGTTCCATCACCATGATCCTGAACATTTTCAGCGCAGCCTTCATGCCTTCAAATATTCTTCCAGGTGCAATTTCAACCGCAAAAACCAAATCCAAACAACTCCGAAACAAGCCAAAAAACCAAAACCAAACAAAAAAACAAATCGGAATCCACAAACCCGCATAATCCATACAACAAGCGCCAGCGCTGTATCAGAAAAACATCGGAATGACAACGGACAATTCTGAGAAAAACAGCTTCAAAGAGCAGGCACAAAAACTCGAACAATTCTATATTACTCGAGTACAACTTATTGTGCGACAGAAACGAGTATTCGGAAAGCACAGAGGCCCCAACAATCACTCCTGCCAACTCCTTTCTCTAGTATAGTCTTTGAGGACCAAACTAAACAGTACGCACACGCAAATCGGTGCCGCCGTTGCTGTCCAAGAAAAGATAGAAAGCTCAACAAACATGTAGGCAGCCCCCCTTCTGTCACATCCCGAAACATACCCATTNTGCCAACTCCTTTCTCTAGTATAGTCGAGGACCAAACTAAACAGTACGCACACGCCAATCGGTGCCGCCGTTGCTGTCCAAGAAAAGATAGAAAGCGCAACAAACATGTAGGTAGCCCCCCTTCTGTCACATCCCGAAACATTCCCATTGTATTTCCAGAGTTCATCCAAGAACACTCCGCGAAAATCAATACGCCAGCAACCAAACGTGCAGACAGCCCCCTTGCAGAGCAAGCTGTTCATCATATGGAAAAACAAAAACAAATCGATTGCCTTTTCTTTTTATTTATTTATGCCCTCTAGAATCATGGTCACAGATGACTTCCCCCCCCATGATTCTGGATGTACATAAGAACAGCAACAAACGAGGAAGAAAATACCAGTGCAATAGTAGAACGCGCNCCAAACGTGCAGACAGCCCCCTTGCAGAGCAAGCTGTTCATCATATGGAAAAACAAAAACAAATCGATTGCCTTTTCTTTTTATTTATTTATGCCCTCTAGAATCATGGTCACAGATGACTTCCCCCCCCATGATTCTGGATGTACATAAGAACAGCAACAAAC